TGCCATTTTGGACATTTTTTTTTTTTATTTTTTGTTCAGATAGAGTGGGAGGAAGAGAGAGAGAGAGAGAAATATCGATGTGAAAGGGACACATCGAGTGGCTGCCACCCACACTACTCAACCAGGGCCGGAGACAAACTGCAACCGAGGTATGTGCCCTTAGCAGGAACCGAACCCGGGTCTCTCTGGACCGCAGGCTGACGCTCTCACCGCTGAGCCAAACCGGCCAGGGCCCATTTTGGACATTTTGAGTTCAAGAAGTCTATGAACATCCAGATAAAGATACCAAGTAAGAGGTTGGTAATACTCAAATTCAGCAGTTATTGTAATACTTTTATTTTAACTGCTCATATTGCTTTTAGAACATCTATCACAATCTACCTCAATCAGAACTGATTCTGAATATGTCTGTCTTTCCCAAAAGGCTAAGTCCTACAGAGCCCAAACCATATCTCAATCTTCGTGGCATCCTCATACACAGTAACTGCCCCTCTACTAGGTCCTCTATCCTACCCCACCTACCTGAATGTTGCTGCATGTGGTCAAACCTCCGCTCCCAGTCCACCCGGACATGGGCCTCAGTCCCAGGGGTCAAGGGTGTCTGTGTGAAATGATCAGCATGGGCCCCCCGGCGGGTGACTCTCAGCACAGAGATGTCATTGATTGTACCATGATCATCAGGCTGGGGAAAAGAAGTAAAGATAATCAGTGATGGGAGGCAGGGCTCACCCTAACTCCCAGATACAAAGACCCTCTAAGGAAAGTGTGTGAGAAACACTCCCAGAATTTAAGATTCCCTGTGGAATGCCAAGGGAGGTGGTTCACTTTATTCCATGAGGGAACTGTCTATCTTCTACATTCTGAACACTTACATATTTTGTTTTTCAGAACATGATAAAAGGATTAAAACAAAGATGCTAACTACAACAATGAAGATTTTAGTAAAACTCAAAGAACCTTAATCCTCTCTCATTCTTAGTTTAGATCAGTGGTTCTCAACTTTCCTAATGCCAGGACCCTTTATTATTATTATTTTTTATCCTCACCCGAGGATATTTTTCCATTTTTTGTTCAGATAGAGCGGGAGGGAGAGAGAGGAAGAGAGAGAGAGAGAAACATCGATGTGAAGGGACACACTGAGTGGCTGCCACCCACACGACCAACCAGGGCCGGGGACAAACAGCAACCGAAGCACGTGCCCTTAGCGGGAACCGAACCCGGGCCTCTGTGCCACAGGCCGACGCTCCAACCGCTGAGCCAAACTGGCCAGGTTTTTTTTTAGCCACGACCCTTTAATACAGTTCCTCATGTTGTATGTGGGCCTATCTGCATGTGGGCGGACCCACCTGGAGAAGGATAGAGGAGCGGTGTCTCAGTTCCTAAAACCACTGGAAATATGTGTTTTCCAATGGTCTTAGGTGACCCCTATGAATGGGTCATTTGACCCCCAAAGGGGTCGCGATCCACAGATTGAGAACCGCTGGTTTAGATCCTTATCTTTCAAAAATAAAAGTTTCTAAAATGGTCTGACTTTTCTTCTCTCCCTCCCCTCCATCCTCTGCACTGCTAGTAGAATTATTTAAAAACATATCAAGTGCTTGCCCAGCCGGTGTGGCTCAGTGGTTGAGCATCGACCCATGCACCAAGAGGTCACCGGTTCGATTCCCAATCAGGGCACATGCCCAGGTTGTGGGCCAAGTCTCGAGTGGGAGCCATGCAGGAGGCGGACAACTGATGTGATCTCTCATCGATGTTTCTATCTCTCACCCCCTCTCCCCTCATCTCTCTCTAAAATCAATAAAGAAAAATACATTTAATAAAAAAAATCAAGTGCCAACTGCTTACAAGACACTGTGCCAGCCTAAAAATACAACGTAAACAGGGCATGATCCCTCATGAAACTTCAGAGTCTGGAGAAGAATACAGACATGCAAACAAGTAATTGCAACACGATCACAACATGCCATAACATAAAAAAGTACATTGTTCTAGAGAGGCTCAAAGGAAAGAGACCTAACAGTCTTAGCAAATCAGGGAATATTTCCTAAGAGAACCAATGTATAAAATGAGACGTTCTTTGGTTGCCTGAGGTCACAAATTTCCTTCAGTAAATTAGAAAACCTCCATGTTTGGGAAATCACTGTAATAATGATACTGATATGAAATTGGAACTTTTTCACTATCGAGTTTACCGCACATGTTCTCTCATGTCACTTCTTTGCCTAAGTCCCTCCATGGCTTACCATAGCTTCCTGAATGAAGTCCACACACCTTAACACATCCTTCAAGAACCTCTCAACTGGCCCCCACTTACTTTTCCAAAGTCATCTTCAGCCTGTCATCAACTAACACACACCACAGACTCCAACAACATCTGACTATTTGGAGTTAACTAGACTTGTCAGATTCTTTCAGGCTTCCCTGCTTTTTTTCTTTTGGTGCTATTATCTCTGCTAGAAAAGCCTCTCCCATAATGCCTACCTTTGATATTATTATTCTCCTTCCCCATGTTCACACTGTACCTTGTTGCTACCCCATCACAGCACTGATAAGCCTGCCCTCTGTTGCGCTGGCTCAGGGGAATCATTTTTAGTTCCTGTCAAACACATAAGCTAATTCCTAGCTCAGGTCTTTTGCACTTACTATTCCTGTTACCTGGAATACTTCCCCCTCTACCTCTACCACCACCACCAGACAACTGCAATGGCTTATTCCCTCACTCCCCTGAGGTCTCTACTAAAATTTCTTGTCCCCTACCTAGGAGAACATCCCATCACTCTTTCCCCCAAGCTCTAATTTTATTTATAGCGCTTATCACACCTGGCATACTATTTATCTATTCACCGTTTTGTCTTCTCCAATAAATATTCCACACCTGTAGAGGAACTATTCTGTTAACCCCTTGAAACAGTACCCAGAATGTGTGTGGCTACTTAAGTATTTGTTGATAAACATCTGTTGAATGGACACCTGGACTTAATTGAACTTCCACCTCTTTTCACTGCGGCTGGGGCAGGCGAGCATTTCCCACCTGGGCAGAACGGGGTGGTGGGGGCTGGGAGGACGGGCCGGTACCTGTCCCCCGCCCTCGGGGAATAGCAGCGTGTCTTCCAGCACCACTTGGAAACCGCTCAGCACTTCTTTCTTGCCTTTGCTTCCCTCAGTCTGCAGCTCTGCAGGTCGGCAGGAGACCACGGTGGTGGTGAACTGAACAGAGGGACGAAAGAATAAGCTGACTCTGGCTCGGCTCTCCCCGCGCACGGCGCCCTCTCCCCGCACCGCCCCATCTGCTGGCCGCATCAGGTCCAGCGCCAAGCCGGCCGCACCTCCCGGGCGTAGCTGTCCCGCTGACACCGGAACGCCATGGCGGCCTCCCCCTGGACGAAGGGACCCGCGCGCGCTGAAGCGCCTGGGGAAGGATGGACGGAGGCCGACGGGGGACAAATCTCAGTGCGGACGCGTCTCTGCGCAGAAGCAAGAGTGTGAGGAATGGGGTCTGGTTGGGACAAATTTCTTGAAAACGCGATTTCCACACGCTCCGTGTTATTTAGCAACTGATCGAAGACTTTGTAAAGGACCAGAGGACACAGCAAAACTATGCCCTGAAACTGTCAAGGCAATTCGTTTAGCCCGTTGGGCTCCAGGGATGTGTGTTAGGTAGAGGTGGGGAAGGTACTGGCTTAAATACACGTCAGCGTGCTTAATAGAGATGTAAAGCAAGCCATTTGTAAATACATTTTTAATTTATTTTCTTTCTTTTTATTTTTTTTGGTACATGCCCCTAGCAGGAACGAACCCGGGACTCTGTGGTCCGCAAGCCGATGCTCCAACCACTGAGCCAAACCGGCCAAGGCTGTAAATACATTTTATTTAAATCAACATATCCAGAATATTTTTCATCATGTAATACATATATAAAATTAAGTGATTTTTTTTTCTCCCATATAAAATTTTAGAAACCTGGTATATATTTTACACACATCTCATTTCGGACTAGCCACATTTCAAGTATCACGTGTGACTGGTGTTACCGAATTAGACAGTGAAAATAAAGAGGTTAAAAGAAGTTAACAACCCCACTGGTGTGTCTCAGTGGTTGAGCACTGACGCATGCACCAAGAGGTCATCGGTTTGAATCCCATTCAGGGCATATACCCAGGTTGTGGGGCAAATCCCCAGTAGAGGGCAGGATGCAGGGGGCAAAAATCCATCGCTCATTCATTGTTTCTATTTCCCTCTCCTTTCCTCTCTCTCTAAAAACAATAAAAAACAAAAACCAAAAAACATTTTTTTAAAAAGTTAAACTGCAATCAATGCCTTATGACTTTTTCTTTAATGCTTTTATTAATTTTCTTTTAGAGAGAGAGAAACATCGATGTGAGAAACATCATTCGGCTGCCTCCTGCACAACCCCTACTGGGGATTGAGCCCGAAACCCGGGCATGTGCCCCAACCAGGAATCAAACTCAATATTTATGCTGAGAAATAAATACTTTACATGGAATAAACAGACTAAAAATAGCCTCACATCACTTTAGGTCATGTTTTGCTGTCAACTGAGTTTTGGTGTCAATTTTTTTGTCAGTTTTCAGAACTTCTCAGTTTTCAGAATCGTGGATAAGAGGAGTTGCTATACAAATTCAAGTCCCAACTTTGCACTTACTGAGACCTGTTTGATCACCTATGAAGAAAAGACCTAATTATTTTATAGGGTTGATATTAGATTCAAAATTTTTTAAAGAAATAGTTAATCATAAAATATAATACAAATATACCTTTGAATTGGCAGTTGTTTTCAAGTTTAAGAACTAATGTCACCTTTAAAAGTATAAAGATATTTCTGGAGTGTGCAGGATGCTGGGTGGGTTTCTGGATGGTTCTAGGGTTGGCCGTATTAGCATATAGCAGTAGGCTGGTTTCTGCTCTGAGAAATCATAGCATAGATCTGTGCATGGGGCAGTCCCCCAGCTTGGTTATAGCCTGCTCCCAACATCTTTCATCTTCCAACCTCAGCAATGAGGGCCAGGATCTCTAACACCTACCCCTCCCCTTTGAGAGTAACTATAGAGGAAGAAGTACAAGCAGAAAGAGACCAGTTCCTAGAGATTTATTATAACCTATATGCTGCTTCTTTGGCTGTTGCTCGACCACATATGCTCAAATACTCAAGAGAGCCCTGATGAGTGGCCCAAACACAGAGATTATAGCCAATTGGTAGGAAGTCGGAAGTCCTACCAGTCTACTCCTCTGCTATTCTGCCATCTGATGCAGTAACCATAGTCAAGTGCCTAGGAAAAAGAAATAAAGCATGAAGGAGGACCCTTAATTAAGAGCTTCGAGGAAAGATCTGAGATACCAGAGGACCTGGGTACACAGCCAGAGCTGGACAAAGGCCCAGGCCCTCGCTTGTCAGAATGACTGGAAGATAGCCACAGCTTCCTTCGTAGCTCTGCTGCGCAGAAGTTAATTACTTGTTGTATCTGCACTGTCAGAATCATCCTAGAAAAAATGAAAAAGAAAAAAGTACCTGTAAAGTATGGAAAGAAAGAACATTTTTGTTCACAAACTTTGTTCACATTCCCTTCTGCTCTCTAAGTTTTTCTTTTGTGATTTTCAATAACTTCTTGGGAGGCTAATACAGGATTTAAACTTAGGAAAATAAAATAAACCCCTAGTACTCAATAAATAGCACTGTCATGTATCATTTAGTCTCAGAATTTCAATTAATGCTGCTGCTCCTTACAAATGTAAATATAGTCAACAGGGCCAGATCTGCTGTAGGATGGAGAAGCAGAGGGAAAGATGGACATGAGGAATATCTTGCTGGAATTTTCTTTTTCTTTCTTTTTTTTATAAGCCAAAGTTTATTTAGAAAGTCACAGAGGTAGAAGTGAGCCGTAGAAGAAATGGGTTCAGGAAACAAGTTACAGAGGCAAAAGAAGGGCCCTAGAACTGGCTGGTTTGGTTCGATTTTGCTCAGTGGTTAGAGCATCGGCCCTCAGAGCAAAGGGTCATGTGTTCGATTCCCAATCAAGGGCACAATCAAGGGTTGCAGGTTTGATCCCCGGCCTCAGTTGGGGTTGTGCAGGAGGCATCAAATCGATGTGTCTCTCTCACATCAATGTTTCTCTCTCTTTCTCTCTCACTCCCTCCCTTCCACTCTATCTAAAAAATAAAAAAAAAATCAATGGAAAAATATTCTTGGGTGAGGATTAACAAAAAAAAAAGAAGGACCCTTGGAGCTTAGGAAAAAGAGAGAAAGGTAAAGATAATATGCCTGGGGTAAGAAAAAAATAATGGGAAAGGTGCAGGCATGCTCCCAAGAGAGACAGCACTTGCTGGGATTTTTAAAGCCTGGAGAAGAATAGTCACCCTCCTGTGTCAAATTCAAATTTAACTTAAAAAAATAAAATAAAATCTTGCTAACATGCACAGAGAACTGTGGACTGAAACAGGAGCTTTCTAGTATCTTTTTTTTTTAATCCTCACCTGAGGACATTCTTCCATTTTTGTTCAGATAGAGCGAGAGAGAGAGAGAGAGACAGCGACGTGAAAGGGACACATCGAGTGGCTGCCTCCTGCACAACCCCAACCGGGGCAGGGAACAAACTGCAACCGAGGTACCTGTCCTTAGCGGGAACCGAACCCGGGTCTCTCTGGACTGCGGGCTAACGCTCTAACCACTGAGCCAAACCTGCCAGGGCTCTAGTATCTTATTTTTAAGGGCAAAAAGGAAACTGAAGGGTTGAGGGGCAGGCTTTACTTACATCCAGATCATCCATGGCAGGGGGAGGTCTCTTGGTACTGACCTTCTTCAAAAGCTGGAGGGAAAAGAAAAATAGTTGCAAGAGAGAAGGGCAACCTGCATACTGATGGACCAGAGGAGAATGGTCCCAACCAGACAACTTCCCTATCTTTAAAGCCCCTAACGCATTAGTGGAATGGATTAGAGAAAAGTAAATTGATCCCCTTCTTAAAAGGAAATTAAATACACACATAGCATCCTTCTTACCAGTCCAGGTCAGGGTCTGCTAGTGTTTTTGCAACTTGAATAGTACTCAAATTCTGAAACCAAATAATTTGTTGAAAAATTGTGATTTTTTAAATGTGAATTTTATACTGCTTAGTTGGAGCATTCCATGAACTTTTCTGGCTCAAGAAAATACACACAAAAAAAGAAAGAGCGAGCCCTTTCTGATGTGGCTCAGTTGATTGAGGATGACCCCATGCACTGAGAGGTTGCCAGTTCAATTCCCAGTCAGGGCACATGCCTGAGGTTGCAGACTCGATCCCCAGTAGTGGGGTGTGCAGGACGCAGCTGATTAATGTTTCTCTCTCATCGTTTCTATCTCTCTCTCCCACTTCTTTCCTCTCTCTCTAAAATAATCAATAATAAATATTAAAAAAAGAAAAAGCAGAGGAGGAAGGGAGGGAGGGAGGGAGGGAGGGAGGGAGGGAGGGAGGGAGGGAGGGAGGGGAAGAGAAGAGAACAAAAAATTACAGAAAAGCAGGAAAGGTTTTTGCCAAACTTTTTCAGAATGCAGGCTCTATTCTATGAATAGTGAGTGAATCTATGTATACAATTTCACCAATAGAATATTCATTTCACCCATCCCTACTAAATAAACATTGCACAAAATATATAAAGAATATCAACACCACCCTGGCCGGTTTGGCTCAGCGGTTAGAGCATTGGCCCACGGACCAGCGAGTCCCAGGTTCGATTCCCGCTAAGGGCACGTACCTCGGCTGCAGTTGTCCCCAGCCCCAGTTGGTGTCGTGTGGGTGGCAACCAGTCGATGTGTCTCTCTCACGTCAATGTTTCTCTCTCTCTCTCTCCTTCTCTCTCTCTCTCTCCTGCTCTATCTGAAGATAAATGCAAAAAATGTCCTCGGGTGAGGGAAAAAAGAGAATATCAGCACCAATGAGCAGCAGATCTAAGGAGCTCATATATCTCTAGGCCTAGCCCTGATGACAATCCTCCAGAGAAATGTATACAGAGACACAGAGAATGGTCAAGATGGGCAGAAAATGGCATTACCTCTGCATAATGTTCCACCTGAGCCAGCTCCACCTCTTCATCCCCTTCCCAGTCTCTCCAGTTATCAAAGTCCACAGACAACCACACTGGCTGTAAGAGGAAGCACGAAGAGTCACAGGCCAGGGCGGTAGCAGAAGTAAATAGAAAAGTGTGGTTGTGTACATAGGAGCATGCTTGGTGAAGAAAGTCAATGGCAGTAGTCTTCCCAACAGCACCCCTTTGACTAACTAACCCCATCTCCAGACTACCATGTTATCAAGAGCCCATTAAACACAATGCCAGGATTTGTAGAGGATGAAAAAGCATAGAAAGTCTGCCCTCAAAGAGCAGATTGACTGGAAAGATAACACATACGGAAATATAACTGTGTCATAAAGTATCATAGATTCCACCAAGCAAGACAGGCCCATTTTCCAAGTTGCCACACTTAGAGAAAGAAGTTATTCACTAATTCATTTAACAGATATTTACTGAACTGATATTATGGGTCAGACTCTGAGATTGGCACTGCGATTATAAATATGTTTAATACATAGTCCCAGCCATCAAGAAGCAAATGGGGAAGGGAAATGTAAACAAATCATTACTATACAGTGTAAAGAGAGTGGTAGTAGGCTATGTAGGGGTTATTTTGGGAACCTAGGCATCCTGGAGTCACATGGCTTTGAAGGATGAACAGGGGTTAGGTGGGAGAAAGTGAAAGTGATGGAGGCTTTCCAGGAAGAAGGCACAGTTTGAGCAAAGGTATAAAACTGAGAAATTGCCTGGTGTGTACAAAATCACTGCAAGCAGTTTGCTGGGGCTGGAATGTGAAGTTTGAGGCAGAGAGTAATGGAATATAAGGCTGCAGGAAGAATAATAGCCGGGTCATGATCTTATATATCATGTTATAGTGTTTGGACTTCAACCTAAAGGGCAGAAGTTATGAGTTCAAATGCCTGAAAGCGTCAAGAAGATAATGAAAAGAAGTAAAGTGAGGTGGAACACATGCCTCATTTAATGTTCTAACTCTAAGCATCTGGGAATTTTAGACCAATGTGACTAAAATCTCCTTTTTTTTTTTTTTTGAGGGAAGCTAATAACCTGGATTTGTAGGTGAAATTTCCACATCTTCATATGTCAGCAACTAATTAAAAATTCTAAATATCAGTAATCAATAGGAATAACTTTTAACACTGTGAAGACTGCTAAAATAAATTTGAGAGCCAGATCAAACCAGCAGGCAGCCAATTTGCAACCTTTAGGAGAAAAGAAGCTACTGGAGGGTCTTAAGTAGGGGAGTGACAGGGTCAAAGATGTATTTTAAACAGACCATAATAGGAGCGATGCATTAGACAGATTGGGGGTGGAGCTGAAAATACACCACGAATCTCACCCATTGATGAATAAGGTCTGAATTAGGAAGAGATAAAGTAACAGATTCAATACCATCCAGGTAGTCAAATAGGCAGAACCTGGTAAGTGACTGAATGTTGGTGGGAAAAGGCGCAAGGGTGATTTCCCGACCTAACTTGGGTACCTGCATACACCGATAGAGAACACAGGAGAAAGAGCAAGCCCCTCCCTACCTTGATATCCTCCTTGGTGAGCCGGGGCCAGGCTACTTTCTCCTTCCATTTCCTCACAAAGCAAGTAATGGAGCGGCCAGAGCGCTTATCCTGGGAGTCCTGCCACACACAGAGCCTCATTCTTACAGTCTGGGGTTTAGAATGAATCTCCCATTTCCCAGGCAGCCTTCCCCTCGAAACCTTCCTGTCCCACTCCATCCTTACCTTGGAGTTCACCTTGGCATAGAACTCAATCTCATTGTACAACTCCACTCCATCGGCATTCCTGCAGCTAAGGAGACAATGCAGCTAAGGAGACAATGCAGCTAAGGAGACAATGCAGCTGAGGAGACTGAGAGGCTGAGTGTGGGGACTTTAGGAGAAAGGAAAGGTTCCGAGAAGCCGGGCTCTACAAAGAGGAGGCCATTACCTGAACACAATGCGGTGGTCTTCTATGAGCACCTGGACATCGGTGCTGTCCTCAACACAAAACTCCATGAACACATACTTGGGCCTGTCATACCACAGGGTCCGGGCATGCTGCCTGAAGAGGAGTTAAGGTGGGGCTTCATAGAGGTGGGATGGGGAAGACTGAGAGCATTTGGGAAAGATGGGAGGAGAGGAGAATATAGGAATATTTCATGCTACAGCCTTGTCAAAATGGAGCAAAAACAGAAGGACGTGGAATTGGAGTGATGAGAATGGGTGTAGGGAGTTATGGAGGCCACTGAGGTCACACTGCCCCGCACCACCCCACAGTTACAGAGACCTGGGGTCTGCAGTTCCCATGGGATCTCGCAGGATCTGGAGCGTCCAGGAAATGTGGGGCGCGGAATCTAAAGGGAGAAAGGCGGCCCGAAACGCTCACCGTGCCATGGCGGCTCCCGCAGCCCGGTGGCGTTCGGAGTCCGAGGCAGGGACCGCTATCTTTAGATCCCAGTGACGCCCCCAGCAGCTGCCTCTCCTTACATGGTCAGTGGAAGTTTTAGAGGCCGGAGAAACTTGGCCCTACAAACAAGAGAGCAGCACCCCGGAGAGACTGTGGGAAAGCATAATCCCAGCAGCCCGTCACCTCTCCGGGTCTCCAGATATGCACAGATTTAGGAAGAGACGACCCACCCTCTGGGCAAGGGCTACACTACACTAGATACACACGAATGACTTCTCCTCGGCTTCATTCACCTGTTTGTCCAACGCTTAGGACATTCTGTGCCTGATTCACAATAGGCGCTCAATAAAAAATCACTGGCCCACATTAAATCCCCGGGGAAGGCCCGCCCTCGGGGACGAACGAGCCCAGCCCACCCGCTTCTAAGGTTTCCCCGCCCGGCCGCCGTTGCCATGGTAGCAAGGGGGCGCCGCTGACGTGCGGCGGCGTTTCCGGGAAGATGGCGGCTGTCGAAGTAGCTGCCGAACCAGTAACGGTGGTGGCGACCGTTGGACCAAAAGCGAGGGACGAAGAGGAGGAAGAGGAGGAGTCACTGCCACCGTGCGGGGCGGTGCGCTGGGCCCCGGTGGGGGCAGTGGCAGAGGCCGGGCCTGGGGCGACAGCGTTCTCGGAAGAGGCGGCTGCGGAGGAACCCGGCGCAGCCCCAGGCTCCCCGCCCGACTCGCCCGGCCGGACACTGCGACGGCTGCGGGCTGAGCGACGGCGGCTGGACTCGGCGCTGCTCGCGCTGTCCTCGCACTTTGCACAGGTGCAGTTCCGCCTGCGCCAGGTGGTGCGCGGGGCGCCGGCGGAGCAGCAGCGCCTCCTGCGCGAGCTCGAGGACTTTGCCTTCCGCGGCTGCCCTCACGTCCTGGGTTACGGTGAGCCCGAGGACCCCGCCTGCGAAGACAGCGACGGCTTGCCGGGGGACCGGCCACGGTTGCGAGGCGAGGACCAGGTAGGCAGCTGGGGCCGGGCCCGAGGAACATGAGGATAGGAGGGGTTGGGTGGGTGGCGATGTGACAACGACGGGAGGTAGCAGTGGTGAGAAGCCGACCTGTCCAGGTGAGTACGCGAGCCCGAGACGCGAAGATTGAGACCGGTGTTCGAGGCCTGGGAACCTGTGGTGAGAGGTGCCCACCGAAGGTTCAGTGACGACGTGAAGGACAGACGAGCTTTGAGCAAAGAGTATTCAGAGGGCAACAGAGCAACCAGCCAAAGCAGTGTTCTTCCTCTCACCTTGCTATAACCTTATGTAGTACCTAAGTCCTCGCACATTTGCTGATAGAGTGCCCCGACCCTGGGGATTGAGAGAGTTGGCTGGTGAAGAGCAAGTGAATTGAAAATCATGGAAAATTAGACCTACTCTGTCTGTGCTTTCTTGGAATCTACAGAGTCTTTAATCTTTAGACTTGTCTGAGTGAGAGCTTTGGTATCTTAGTAATTAAAAGAAACACAACTGATTACATGAATTTATTTTTTTAACTTTTTTTTTTTTTTTTTTTACTGATTTTTAGAGAGAGAGAGAGGAAGGGAGCGGGAGAGGGAGAGGGAGATAGAAACATCGATGAATGAGAACATCAGTTGGCTGCCTCCTGCATGCCCTCAACTGGGGATATGGCTCACAACCTGAACATGTGCCCTGACCGGGTATGGAACCGGCAACCACTTGGTGCATGGGTCCAAGTTCAACCACTGAGCCACACTGGCCAGGCATTACATGAATTTTTTAATGCTAGTATTTTAAAACTCTATCCACACACACACACACACACACACACACACACAAACAAACTATTTAAAAAAAAAAAAAACTCTGGCCGGTTTGGATCAGCCATTGGAACATCGGCCTGTGGACCAGAGAGTTCCTGTTTCAGTTCCCGCTAGGGGAACGTACCAAAAAAAAAAAAAAAAAATTATAAAACTCCTTCCTCATCCTGCTTAATAACTAGGTATTTTAAATGAAGTTCCTTTGGTAACTGACAAGATTCATTCAATTTGCGGACCTCGAGAAGTTATAAGAGACTGTATACCACACCAAGGGAACGTTTCCTTAGTCTTTGAATCTCTGGAAGTGCACAGTTGTAGATAGGTGATGAAGAGACTCTCTTTTCTCCACCTTTTTATTCTTTTTGTTTAATCCTCACCTGAGGACATTTTTCCATTTATCTTTAGACAGATTAGGAGGGAGGGAGAGAGACACAAAGACTGCTTGCCTCCCGCATGACCCCAACCAGGGCCTGGGACTAACTGCAACTGAGGTACATGCCCTTGGCTGGAAACGAACCCGGGTCTCATTGCTCTAACCGCTGAGCCAAACCGGCCTGGGCTCCTCCTTTCTTTTTTAATCTTCACCCGAGGATATTTTTCTATTTTATCTTCAGATAGAGTGGGAGGGATAGAGAGAGAGAGAAACATCAATGTGAGAGGGACACATTGACCCTAACCAGAGCCGTGGATGAACTGAAATCAAACCCGCGACTCTTTGGTCTCCAGGCTGACACTCATCCAGGGCCACCTTTTTATCCTTAAAATTACAACCCACGTGTGGCTTTCTTCCCACTTAAATTAGTTTCAACCAGAAGACTTATCAGTAACAGATATTGAAATATTTTAATCTAAAGTGTTTCCAATGCAGTTCATTACAGTAGTTTCCACTTATCTGAGGGGAATACTTTCAAAGACCCCCCCCCAGTGGATGCCTGATACATTGCGTAGTATTAAACATATATACTATGTTTTTTCCTATATATACATGCCTATGATAGAATTTAATTTATAAATTAGACACAATGAGAGATTAACAACAATAACTAATAATAAAATAGAACATTCATAACGCTATACTGTAGTAAAAATTATATGAATGGCTTTGGGCTGTTAGTAAGTAAAATAAGAGTTACCTGAACACAAGCACTGCAGTACCTCAGCAGACAATTTGATAACCAAAACAGCTATCAAGTGACTAGTGGGTGGATAGTGGATTCAGCATGGATACCTAGATACTTTGGACAAAGGGATGATTCAGGCTCAAGATTTCGTAACACTATTCAGAACGGTGCAGTTTAAAACTTTCAAAATCTGCCCTGGCCGGTTTGACTTGGCAGTTGGAGCGATGACCTGTGGTCTGGAGAGACCTGGGTTCGGTTCCTGCTGGGGGCATGTGCCTTGGTTGCAGTTTGTCCCCGGCCCTGGTTGGGTTGTGCGGGTGGCGGCCACTCAATGTGTCCCTTTCATGTCGATGTTTCTCTCTCTCTCTCTCTTCCTCTCTTTCCCTCCCACTCTATCTGAACACAAAATGGAAAAGTGTCCTCAGGTGAGGATAAAAAAAAAAAAAACCAACTTCCAAATTCCTTATTTCTGGAATTTTCTATTTAATATTTTTGCCTCAGTTGACCACAAGTAACTGAAACTATGGAAAGCCACACCAGCAGAACTTACCAAACATTTTTTTTTTAAATACTAATACCTTCCCATCCCCTTTACTTAGTAGCTTTGAATTCCTTTTACTGCCCCGGTATCTGCGTTTATTCTTTTGATTTTGCAGCCCTCTTTGAATCTTAAAACAAACTGGGTATGAATTGTAAGGGCTTTCTCTACATTCTTACCTCCAGATTCTCTGCAGAAAATATTCAGGAGTTGATCTGTGGTAATTGGCCATGGAGGATGGCATGGCTAAATCCTGGGAGGCTGTCTTGGCTAAGATAAGTTGTCTCAATTCTAACTAGACCTTTGAGGAGGGGAAAAGCAGTCTTAACAAAAGGCCCCATTGTTTCCATATCCTATTTTTAATGAGAAACAAATACTTTCTTAAAACACATTTAATAAATTTCCCTGTATAAAATAATTTTTTTTACTGTTTTTGATTTTAGAGAGAGGGAGGGAGAGGGAGAGAAACATCTGTGTGAAAGAGAAATATCATTTTAGAGAGGAAGGGAGGGAAACATGGATCAGCTGCCTCCTGCACACCCCATACTGGGGAACGAGCCTGAACCCTGGGCATGTGCCCTGACAGGGAATCAAACCTGTGACCTTCTGATACATGGGACAATGCTCAACCAACTGAGCCATACCAGCCAGGACAATTCTTCTTTTTTTTTCTTTATTGAATTTAGAGAGAAAGTAAGGGAGAGGGAGAGCGAGAACGAGATAGACCCTGGCCAGTTTGGCTCAGCGGTTGGAGCATTGGCCTGCGATCCGGAGAGACCTGGGTTCGGTTCCCGCTAAAGGCATGTACCCCGGTTGCAGTTTGTCCCCTGCCCTGGTTGGATCATGTGGGTGGCAGCCACTTGATGTGTCCCTTTCTCTCTCGCTTTCACTCTATCTGAACAAAGAATGGAAAAATGTCCTGGGTGAGGATTAAAAAAAAAAAAGAAACATTGATGAGAGGGAACGTTGATTGGCCACCTCCTGCATGCCCCCCACAGGATGTCTGGCCCACAATCTGGGCACGTGCCCGGACTGGGAATTGAACCGGTGACCTCTTGGTGAATGGGTTGACGTTCAACCACTGAGCCACACCAGCCAGGTGCAATTATTCTTATGTTTGAGCTATCTTACAAATTCCGTATTTCAACTGCAATAATTGTAAATATTTTCTATTTTGCTAGTCATTGGCTTGGGAGGATTCTTGATGTGTCCTGAATTTTCCTTTTCTTGTGAAATAAACCTAAGTATTTTCTCATCTTAGAGTGAGCAGAAGAAATGGGAACATCTAAAAACCCAAAGGGAGAAGCAGAAGGAACTAATACTGCAGCTCAAAACCCAACTAGATGATCTGGAAACATTTGCCTACCAAGAGGGCAGTTATGATTCCCTGCCCCAGTCCTTGGTCTTGGAAAGACAGCGGGTAAGTAAATACCACCACTGCTTAAGGTTACCTTGTTCATTCCTGTCTTTAGTCTTTCCTAGCTTGTTTGCCTTGGGCCTTACTGAGAATCCCTTTGCTGGCCCAAATCAAAGGGAAATTTTTACTATTACATGGGTCAATATTTATTCACACATGCAAACACAAATTCCAAAGCTTTATAATATGATGATTGAGTTCTAGCTTTTTGTTGGTTATTATTAAGAATAATAATAGTTATATATAATAATAACTGTAATACTTTCTTTCATTTGATCATTAAAACAGTTCTATTTGGGTACATCATAGTATGTAAACTAGCTTTATTTCCCACCACCAGTTGATAAATATGCCAGGAATCCACAGTGACTTGAATGCTGTATTTATTTAAGCAACATCTGGGTAGACAGGTAAATCTTTTGGTAGAAATACAGCTACAACCTCCCCTACATGTTTGTCTCTCCCTGTGATGTGGC